AAAAAAAAAAAAAGCCAGCATGGTGGTTTGCGTCTGTACTCCCAGCTACTTGGGAGGCTGAGGCAGGAGAATTGCTTGAACCTGGGAGGCAGAGGTTGCAATGAGCCAAGATCGTGCCACTGCACGCCTGTCTGAGTGACAGAGTGAGACTCTGCCTTAAAAGAAGAAAAAAAAGAGTGCCTCATTCCAACCTTAAAACTTATAGACATCTCTTCTTTAAACTAGTTCCAAAACAGTGGTATCAAAAAACAATCCCATTCTGTAGTATTCCTATTCATTAGCAATGAACAATAGTCTCCCTACAATAGTCTCCCTTTTGGGGAAAGCTAGTCTTTTTTTTTTTTTTTTTTTGAGATGGTGTCTTGCAATGTCGCCTAGGCTGGAGTACAGTGGCACGATCTCTGCTCACTGCAACTTCCGCCTCCCGGGTTCAAGCGATTCTCCTCCCTCAGCCTCCTTAGTAGGTGAGATTACAGGCTCCTGCCACCACACCTGGTTGTTTTTTGTTTGTTTGTTTGTTTTTTTTGTTTTTTTTTTAATCTTTTAGTAGAGACGGGGTTTCACTATGTTAGCCAGGCTGGTCTTGAACTCCTGACCTCGTGATCCACCTGCCTTGGCCTCCCAAAGTGCTGTGATTACAGGTGTGAGCCACCGCGCCTGGCCAGGGGAAAGCTAGTTTTAACTCCCTTTTAAAAAATAGGCTAGGTTTGTTTTTAAATATCCACATGATCCAACCATTCTACTCTTAGGTATTTACCTAAGTAAATGAAACCATATGTTTATACAAAGACTTGTATATATCTATATCTGCTACTTGGGATGCTGAGACAGGAAAATCGCTTGAATCCAGGAGGTGGAGGTTGGAGTGAACTGAGATCATGCCACTGCACTCCAGCCTGGGTGACAGAGCAAGGCTCTGTCTCAAAAAAAAAAAAAAGCTGATATGCCCTACAAGAAATGTTAAAGGGAGTCCTCAAAGGACATTAGACAATAAGTAGAACCCAAAAGCCTACTTAGGTAACTATAAAAGCCACTATTATTATATTTTTGGTTTCTAACTCCTTTTTAAAAACAAAAACAAAAAAAAAAGGGGTCTCATTCTGTTGCCCAGGCTGGAGTGCTGTGGCATGATCACAGGTCACTGCAGCCTTGAACTCCTGGACCTAAGCAATCCTCCTCCATCAGCCTCCTGAGTAGCTGGGACTACAGGCAAGTATCACTGTGCCTGGCTAAGGCACCATTGTGCCAAAATGATCCTTCTGCCTTGGTCTCCCAAAGTGCTGGGATTACAAGCGAGACCTATCACATCCAGACTCTTCCTTTTTTCTTATTTAAGAGAGAAAAGCATAAAATAATAATTATAAATCTAGGCTGGGCATGGTGGCTCATGCCTGTAATCCCAGGATTTTGGGAGGCTGTGGTGGGAGGACCATTTGAGGCCACGAGTTCAAGACAAGCCTGGGCAACATAGTAAGATTCCATTTCCACAATTTTTTTTTTTTTTTTTTTT